TCGACATCTCCATTCAGCTCCTGGCGGGCTTGGGGTTTTGGGGTTTAGGTAAAGTTTAGGGTTTAGGGTTTGGGGTTTGGGGTTTGGGGTTTGGGGTTTGGGGTTTGGGGTTTGGGGTTTAGGGTTTAGGGTTTATAGGGTTTATAGGGTTTAGGGTGGCGGCAACGGTGGTGCAAACCGTATACCCATGTCAGTTGCAGCAGAAGGCTTTCGGGCTGCTTCCGCACTCACGCATGATGGGGCTACTTGCATATGTTGCATCCACATGGATCATGGGAAATCACGGCTGAGAGCCGGACGCTGGACGTCTCATCCGGCGCGGCCACTGCCTCTCCCAGCACTGTGTATCAACTGCATGGCGCATACTAACGTCCGCAGCATACAAGGACAAAACAGACACGGCAGAACCAGACAACTTGATCTCGAAACGAGTGAGGCGATCTTCAAAGCTGCGGGTGTTCCCGCTTCAAGGGTGAGAGGACTCTAGAGGCATGAGTTGCCGTGCCTTCTTGATGCAACATCGAACTGCAGGGGGAGTTGCTGTGCAACCCATTCACTTCGGATCTTTTGCGAGGGATGCACAGACCCTGGTCTATGTCCAGGACTCACGAATCGCTGTCAACATTGTTTATCTGAAGGACGAGGATACACCATCCATAAAAGCGCAGCGCAATTGAATCATGTGAGATGCCCTGGCCTGCTTTTTACGCAGGCGCACCATCTGTGGCGAAGGCTGAATCGGGGGGGGGGGGGGGGGCACTACCCTGAACTGGTAGATCTGACGGCCCGAAGGGAGTTTTGCTCCTGTGGGCAAGTCTCGATCTGACTCGCAGCCAGCCCAAGTTCGGTTGTAGGTGTGTTGGCAACGTCGTAAGCACCACCCTTTCATGTCAGCATACCGAACCCCACAAACCGGGGCGTCCGCACGTCAAGCTTGAGCCAAAACTCATGAGCGGCACATGACCCATGAGCGGCACATGACCCTGGCACAGGCGTCAAGCTTCAGCGTGACAGTGCTTCTAATTACCCGGATTCCTCGACCAGCGCATCCTGCCTGCATCTTCGAGACTCCGGCTGCCTGGCAAAGCTCTGCAGCACATCAGTCTTGTCAGGTGCCTAACGGTTGCAGGCAGTCTCATCATGGTGTGCTTTCCCTCCGACGGTCGAAAGCTGCATCCAGTGGACGGCACCCTCTACGCCGATGCACAGATAGAACTGGATGAATTTGCTGCAAATCAGACGCTTCTTGCAGTTCCACGTCTGTTGCTCAATGACCCGGCCCAAAGGACAGCCTCAAAGAAGCGACCGTGCTGTGAGCCGCGCGGCTCCCACCTGAAGGGGTTGCGCTTTCGCACCAGTTTTTTGGCACAGCCCTAACTGGCGTAGACTTACCGTGGGAGACGTTAGAACACTCAAATGCCTTGAGGCCCTCAGGCCGAGACAGGGGGGGTTTAGGGTTTAGGGGTTTGGGGTTTAGGGTTTAGGGTTTAGGGTTTAGGGTTTAGGGTTTAGGGTTTAGGGTTTAGGGTTTAGGGTTAGGGTTTAGGGTAAACTTCAGCGCCCCCAAGAGCCCTGCATCCTTCCACCCCTTGAGGCACCGGCCACCAAAGGTCGCAGGTGCCTTCTGCTTGGAGGTCCAGGGTACTTCTAACCCCAATTCTAAGGGTTTAGGGTTCAGGGTTTGGGGTTTAGGGTTTAGGGTTTAAGGTTTAGGGTTTGGAGGTTCAGGGTACTTATAACCCCAATTATAACTGCACTTATAAGCCCCCTAAGTCCTCTAAGTAGGGGTTTTAAGTAGACTCAATATTAGTGTTATAAGTACCCATCAACCTCCAAGTAGATTCTAGCGGCAGCGTGTGGCTTCAGGGTTTAGGGCTGCAAGCTTGACCGCAGCAGCATGCGAAAGGTGAGTCGAAGGACGGTCTCACCTTGCATTGATCTCCTCTTTTTCTGGGAGCCTATATAAGGAGGCCGAAGCAAGTATACCAGGCAAAAGCCAAACGCAGGCACGCAATCATGACCACAGAGCCAGACCCAATAGCCACTGCATTCCAAAAGAACAGCGCTGGGCTCCCAGCTTGCATCCTTGGAAATCACCTGACATTCTCACGGATTGAACAACTGGAGACAGAACCCCTCCCATCGGACTCACTCAGGGCTCAGCAGCATGTTGCTCGGGCGCTAAACCCTGCCATCCTTTTTTGCATCCGGGCTTGGGGAGTCGGCTGCAAAAAGCCTAAACCCTAAACCCTAAACCCTAAAACGCTTCTTTAGAGCATCAGCTGGGACCACCTGTCGAGCCCGGGACTGAGCTCCAAGCCAGAGCTGGGACCACCCAGGCTCCCTAAACCCTAAACCCTAAACCCTAAACCCTAAACCCTAAAACCCTAAACCCTAAAACCCTGCAAGCCCTCAAAATGTCTACGGCTAAGTCCTGGATCTTGTCGCCCTGACGGCAAACCCACCTCGGCAATGACGTTGGGCAGCCCTTCGCGCACGTAGGAGACCAAACTGGGCAGCTCAAGGTGACGGTTTAGGGCTCTTAGGGTTTTAGGGTTTAGGGTTTAGGGTTTAGGGTTTAGGGTTTAGGAAGGGCTTTAGGGTTCTCACGGTTTTCGGGTTTTAGGGTTCTTACGGCTTTCGGGTTTTAGGGTTCTTCGGCTTCTTAGGGTTAGGTTTCTTAGGGTTTAGGGCTCTTAGGGAAGAGGATTCTTAGGTCTTTCGGTTCTTAGGGTGTTTAGGGTTCTTGGGCTTTAGGGTTCCTAGGGCTTTAGGGCCCTTTGGGTTCTTTAGGGCTCTTGGGGTTTTGGGGCTCTGAGGGCTCTAGGGACACTTAGGGCTTAGGGATCTCAAAGTTTTGGAGTTTTTGCCACAGCCGCAAGCTGCATAAGCAAAGCCATGCTGATCTTGGGCCAAGCTCTAACATCGCACACGCCAGCCCCGAGAGCATGCCCTGAAGTCTATTTTGGCCCAAAACCGCCAAGCAAAAAAAAAAAAAACATCCTGAACACATGGACTGAAGATTTTCTCAGCACCAGGGTGCTCTTTCCCAAATCGCATCGACCGTCGGGACCCCGGCCTGCCCACGGAAAGCTGCTGCCAGCCATGTTCGGTTGCTGCGACGTCGCTCGCTCGTGCCTGGCGCAGGGCAACTCCACTGGCACACGCGATTGCGCGTGCTGTTGACAGCGACGTGCAGCAGACAATGGTTGAATTGCAATTGTGCTGGGATCTAAACTGTCAGACTACGTGAGCTTTCTTCGTTACCTGCACGTCAAGGGCAACTTGGAGATGGGAGCTCCACAGGCTGGGAATGGCGACACAAAGACTGCGTCAAGAGCGTTTATTCTCATGACCACACTCTGCAGGTGGAGGCGCGTCCGCGGTGCAACGCGCCGTTGTCTAGATCACTGCCAGTTCGGGTCCAAACAACTCCAAAGGGCTAACATGGCAATTCTGTGTTCGCGAGTGATTTGCCAGAACCAAGAACACAGCACCCGGCGTCGGACAATGACAATACAGCATACTACACATGGAAAGAATAAAACATCTGCCGATGCTCATCAAACGTACACGCTTTTTAATGTCGGGACCCGACTCGCCGCAGTCATCCATAGACATGGAGTCACAGTGACCAGAAGGCACATGAACGCCACAGACGGCACGCGCTGTCGCAAGTCCAATCGGGAGGGCTAGTTCTTCAACACAAAGTAGCCACCGACGAACGCACTTATTCCCAGGAGCTTGGTCTGAACGAAGCATAGCCCAGTACCGCCAGAGAGTAGCTGCAAAAAGGCAACTCATCCTCTACAATGTACAACATGGGGACGATCTTGAAAGGCATTGCAAAAGCAAGAAATTTACATTAGGGGGCACCTTATTGTGGTCCTTATTGTAAGGGAATCCTACTATTTGGGGATCTATTTGGGGTCCGGGTCCCCCACTTTCGTAAACCCGAAGTTCGAGCCTTGAACTAAACCCTCAGGAAACAACCGAAGTGAACTGTATAGCTGAACGGCCCAGGGGCCGTCAGGCTCTAGGGCTGGGTTGGGTTTGGCAAGCCCTCTAGCCCCTTAGACTAACAGTCCTTTAACAGGGCTTATACTATCCCCTAAACACTGCTCGTATAAGGGGGAAGATCCCAACCTCTAGCCTACAAGCTGCCAGAAAATGTTACAAGCCCTCGAGCTGCAATCCCAGCTCGGCAGGTCTAAAAAATCTGACCCAAAGAATTCCCTCACCCTAGAATTACATCTTCTCCAAAGGGCACCACTTATCTCTAGTGACCCTAGTGCCAATTGTAGAAATGACCGGGGTTTAGGGGTCTTAGGGCCCCATCCCGGCACCTCGTCCACACCTGGGCATGTTTTTTGCTTGAAGGCTTGCTGCTATGCTCAGTTGTCCAGTGTCCTGGGATTGTAAAGGGAATATAATCCAAAAAGGTTATAGGTTACCTACTCTACTACTGCGGAAGATATAGCTGGAAAAAATACCCCTAAACCCTCAACCCTAAAACCATATGCTCACGACATGGCACCTTATGACCGCAGGCTGAGACACCCTGTGTTGCTGGCGCCAAGCCTCCGAGTAGCCGGTTCAACACAGGCCTCTGAGAGATGGAGGGTCACGGAGTACTGTGTGGGGGTTCTGGGGTTTGTTTAGAGTTTAGGGTTTGGGGTTTAGGGTTTAGGGTTTAGGGTTTAGGGTTTAGGGTTTAGGGTTTAGGGCAACATATGGGGGTTTTTGAAGTTAGGGGGGTACCTTCTTGGAAGAGGAATCACACTATTTGGGGGCTATATTCGGGACACAGTATTTTCGGAAACCTCCATGTGTTCGATGTTGATCAGGGGTTCGGGTTCAGGGTCGACGGGCTTCACGGGCTTCTTGGCCTGGCACTTTTCTGTCCGAAAGCTTCGGCGCCGGGCGCGCGATGGGCTCTGCCACAGACGACGACTCGCAGCAGTGAGCCGCAGCAGGGCGATGCACCTCCTCTGCTCCTCTTATGTGGCCGCAGCTGTGGTGGAACTTGGCGGATCTTGAAGCACTGCTTGATGCGCCCGCGCATACTCAGCGAAGATGCCATTCTCCCTTTGCAGGAGGTCCGATGGAGAGCCTTCCTCTGCCAACCGGCCATTTTGTATCACCAAGAGACGGTCCGCCTTCGCTAAGTTAGACAGCCGATGAGCCACGCAGATGACCGTGACGCGATGTGATTTCCGAAGAACCTCAACTTCTTCTTGCAGCTTCGCTTGCGATATCTCATCCAGCGCGGAGGTCGCTTCGTCCAAGATGAGAAGGCGAGGCTGCTTGACGATGGCCCTTGCTAGGGCAAGCCTCTGCCTCTCCCCACCGCTCAGGTCGCTCCCTCCATCCCCCACATCCGTGTGCCAAAGGTTCGGGAACGCCGATTGGTTGAAGAAGGTCTCCTCGCATTGCGCAGATCGCAGTGCGGCCTTGGCCACTTCTTCCGGAGGCTCTTCCATCTGCGCCTGCCCTGACATGTCGACGGAGACGCAGCCATACATGAGATTCTCCCGGACAGTCCGGCGGCACAGGACAAGATCCTTACGGTTGGTAGGAACATCCCCCTATACATGCCCTTTAGAGTCTACCTCGGTACCTCATTCCCTCACTCCCTCATTCCCTACTAACCAACAGTAAGGATCCTGGCTCACGAAGCCCACATGGCGGCGTAGCCACAGGGGGTTGTAGTCTCGCAGCGCCCGGCCACCCAGAAAAATCTCCCCACTGCTGGGCTCATAGAGTCGCAGGAGGAGGGACAGAATCGTCGACTTGCCCGAGCCCGTCGCCCCTGTGCGGAAAGGGTTTAGGGTTTAGGGTTTAGGGTTTCGGGTTTGGGGTTTAGGATTTAGGGTTTAGGGTTTAGGGTTTAGGGTTTAGGGTTTAGGGTTCAGAGACTTCACCAGAATCTTACGACGAGAATCCAGCCCATGGGGGTGTGGGGAGGGATTAAATACTCATTGACGACTCATGAAGAAGACTCTTTTTTCCCGATTGTTTTGGCCAATCCCTGCCTAAAATGCCCAGGAACTCGCCCTCCTTCACGCAAAAGGAGAGGTGTCTGAGGACGCTCGCACCTTGACGCTGCTGGTACTCGAAGGAAACGTTCCGAAACTCAACTGCCCATCGAACATCGCCTCGTGCGTTGGAAGCTTCGGTTTGTGTCTTGGCGCTCACATTCGGCTCATATTGGCTGTGTCGAACACGTGCTTTATTCTCAGGGTGAAAAATTAGGGGCTTTTTCTCGCTACGGAAGTTCACCCAGGAACGAATGAAAGGTGCCGGAAACGCTGGACCTTTAAACCAGTGCAGATGTCGTGGCATGTGGGGGGTGACAAGACTGCAAGCAAAGGGGTGCAGATTCTTGAGATTGCGCACCTATCGCCCTGAATGCCCCATCATGCACCACCAGCTGAAAGCACACATACCCCCAAGAAGTGGCCACTCCCTGAAGCCGCGCATGCTTTGTAGCTGCCGAAGCACCTCAACCCTCACTCAACCCTCAAAGGCCTGGCAGCCCTGCCACCTTACGTGCCCTGAAGCCCTGAAACAGAACTGAAACAACCCTTTTTTTGGAGCCCAAGGCACAAGGCTCGGGCATGGAGCTCAGGCTCGGCTCATCCAAGGCTGCCCTGGGCCTCCGGCCCAGGAGGGCTGCCATCTGGGCCAAAGGCCCCAAGGCGTGGGCGGACACATTGGATGCGGCAGCCTGGGCATACCTGGACGTGGAAGCAAGATCCGAACCCTAAACCCAAACCCTAAACCCTAAACCCTGTTTGATTTGGGGGTTGAGGTGGTCGGAGGGCATAAGTGTGGCAGTAGATTCCATACATCTTCGGAGTGGGCGGAAGGTGGATTGCACGCTGCTGTTTCAAGATGCAAACTGGGGTATGACACCCCCCGCCCCTGCCTGACCCCATCGAAGGCGTTCTGCGCGATGAGGACCACAGATGAGAGCTCCCCAAATCTGGGCATGCAAATTGCTTGGAAACCAGCCCGCATGGTTGAGAAGGTGCCATCATAAGAATAATACTTATTCTTCTTCGTCTTCTTCTTCGTCTTCGTCTTCGTCTTCGTCTTCTTCTTCTTCTTCTTCTTCTTCTTCTTCTTCTTCTTCTTCTTCTTCTTCTTCTTCTTCTTCTTCTTCTTCTTCTTCTTCTTCTTCTTCTTCTTCTTCTTCTTCTTCTTCTTCTGCTTCTTCTTCTTCCTCTTCTTCTTCTTTGTCCTATTATTGTAATTATCGTCGACATTATTGCTTCAATTGTAATCATCATCAACATCGTGTGCCAGGCCGAGAGGCTGCATCTCGCCGCGCAGGGCCAGGCGGCCGCCGTACCAGAGCGTGCTGATCTCCAAGCCATGCTCGAGCAGCGCCTTCACAGACCGGAAGGCAAGTGACAAGAAGAGCAGGGTTTAGGGCTTTGAGGTTTAGGGTTTCGGGTTTCGGGCTTAGGGTTTAGGGTTTAGGGTGGTTTAGGGTGGTTTAGGGTGGTCCGCTCCCTCTTTCCCTCCTTACCCCCAAAACGCGGGGGGGGGGGAGGGGGGGAGGGGGGAGGGGGGGGGGGGGTAGGGGGTGGCACCCACAAGACTTCCCCCCCCCCCTACCGCCCCCCCTCCCCCCCCCCCCCCTACCCCCCCCCCTCCTGGTTGCTGGCCTGTTCAACAATTGATGGGGCTGCCCTGCCCTTAAGCTGGCTTCAGCTCCTGTTTGGGTCCTGGTGCTACTCCCCCCCCCCAACGTTTCACAGAGGCTCAAGCAAATCAACTTTTGGATCCTTTGAGCTGACGAGCGCGTTTAAACCTTTCAACTATGCTCCAGCGGGGTTGGCGGGCCGGAGGCTCTTAAATTAGGGTTTACTCGGCGCTGTCTCTGAGTCTGAGCAACTGAGCGCGACTGCACTGAGCCAGCACATCATCGGGACCACCCCCCGCAGTACTGGAACTACAGGGCGGCATCCCAAATCACCAGCCGATCCGACAGGACATCCAGAGGGTTTAGGGTTTAAGGGAGATAATTGTCCATCAGGGGGGGTGGGCGTTCCGAACCCCAGCTTCGGAGAAGAGTTAAATCCAGAGATAGTTCTTGCAGGTATATGCATGATTTTCAGAAGCAACTTCCTCCAAGTTTAACTGCTTCTTTGCCTCGGGCCTTCAAAGTCAATAGACCTAACTGTTTGAACGAGCGGACCACTCTGTACCTCGTTTTGCAAAATAGCGGGCCATCGGTATTTCGCTTCGGCTCCAAATCTCGGATCTTCGAAAACAATTAACTTCGAGAAATCCAGAGCGATTCCTCGCAGACCAAAGCAACATATACATCTGGAGTTCATTCCCCTCAGCGGACCCAAAGCAAACAATCAAATCCAGAGTTAATGCCCTTAGAGGACCCCAAACCGTTAGAAAACAATCAAATCCAGACTTAATTGTCTGGACAGGGGGGCTGAACAACACCGACAATCAACTCTAGAGTTAGTTTTCTCCTTCCTAAACCCTTGGACAACATGTAAATCTAGTGTTTATTGTCTGGATAGGGGCTGAACAACCCCAGAAGCAGAAACAATCAACATCAATCAAACACAGAGCTAACTGTTATTAACTCATGTTTTCATAGTTTCCTTCACAGACCATCTAACCCCTAAACTGGCCCGAACTAATACTAACACTACTTCTGCCCCCATAAAGCGCAATATTGGTAACAACAATTCTCGGTTTTTTTACGAACGCAACGTGTAGCGGCTTGGGATGATCGTGGCGTTCCATGCACAACTGTGGGTTGCAAGAGCTTGCGACCTCCGATGCGGAACCTGCTTCCTAGACCATGTCTTGTTCGGACGTGAGGTCCTTCTGCCGGCCCCTTTGTTGGCTAGTTGGGATGTTCCCCCCCTTTATACTAACAGTCCTTAATAGGAATTATAATATGGCGGTATAAGCATATAATCCCTACTAAGGGCTGTTCGACTGCTAGTATGAGGGGGAACATCCCAAGGTGAGGTCCCTGGTTCCCTAAAGCCTAAGCCCTAAACCCTAACCCCTCCCTGGTTCCCTAAAGCCTAAGCCCTAAACCCTAACCCCCCCCCCCCTCGCTTAAGTAACCTTAACGAGGCTACATGTTCCCTAAATAGCCTTAAATTACGGGGCGGTGGGGGGGAACCGAGGGAGCCTGAAAGGCAGCCCCCAAGCTGAACACCGACCGACGCTCTGCAAAAGCTCCCGGCCTGGAGCGGCTGCAGAAGGCGGAAGACCAGCCTCAGGGTTTAGGGTTTAGGGTTTAGGGTTTAGGGTTTAGGGTTTAGGGTTTAGGGTTTAGGGTTTAGGGTTTAGGGTTTTTTTTTGCCACCCGCCTAGCTGACACTCCGGCCACATTGCAGGGACTAGTTCCGGAAATACTGCGTCATAGGTTTAGGGTTTAGGGCTTAGGGTTCAGGATTCAGGGTCTAGGGTTTAGGGCTAAGGGTTTAGGGTTCCGTGTTCTGGGTTTTCCTAGTTGCTGAGTACCCTGGGCCACAAAAGGGTTAACCTTTCAATTACGGTAGGATTATATTATATACCCCAGAAGGCTAAAGGTGACCTACTCAGCTGCTAAGGTTTTCTTTGCCACGCACCTAGCTGTGCAACTCAGTTTAACCAGAGTCTTCGGCAACAAAAAAAAGCGTTTTTCGTAGGGAAGTCGGATAATCAGGAACCGCACAAACCCCTACACAAGCTCTAAGGGGTTCGAAAGGCCACCTAGTCGCCTACGACCAAAGAAACCGAGTTGCTGAGCACCCTGCCTGGGCCTACCCCAAAAAGCTAAAGGTCACCTACTCGGCTACCAAGGAAGAGGAGCAAAACTCTCCGACATATACCCCAAAAGGCTACGGGTCACCTACTCAGCTACCAAGGAAAAGGGGCAAAACTCTCCCCAGAAGCATCCCCGCAGCATCTTCCGCTGCTGCAGCTGGTCGTGGACGGCCAGAAAACGTGCGAAGGTGGCCAACTCCATGGGCTCCCGGGCAAATGCACGCCTTGTGGTGCGGTTTAGGGTAGGATGAGGGTTTAGGGTTTAGGGTTTAGGGTTTAGGGTTTAGGGTTTCGGGTTGAAACCCCGAAGCCCTTGGGTGTCAAGCCCCGGCCCTCCGCAAGGAATCTCGAAAAAGCCGCCCCTGCCGCAAGGCGGCACCCTGTTGAACTTGGGATGATTTTTTCCTAAACCCTAAACCCTAAACCCTAAACCCTAAACCCTAGAAGCCAAACCCTAACCTTATACTACTCACAGTCCTTAAACGGGATTATAATCGGGACTATATTTACGATAGGGACTATAATGAGACCGGGGGCTGCAATTATAATAAGGACTATAGTTATAATAGGGGCTATAGTTATAATAAGGACTAAGATTATAGCAGGGACTGTAATGACAATGGGGGGTACTACAATACCTGTTTCGGACTGTTAGCAAAAGGGGGAACATCCCAATATTGAACCCGTACTGAGGCGCGTGAGGGGGAAAGCGTTTGCTCTGCCAGGCGTGCCTTGTTCCCCACAATACCTCCCTTCTTAAGGAAATGTATAAGGAAGTCATAATGAGGAACCCGAAACATGTAGGTGTATGGCACCCTTGCATCTGATAAGGACCCCCTCCAACCCAAGAAAATACAAAAAAACACTCCCTACTTTAGAGAACTGCCCTCTTTTTTGTTTTGGGAGTGTAGGGCCCGTCATCCTTGTGCAGCCGGGGATGCTCGTCTTTGTTTGGAACTATGGCCATTGCTTCGGGCTTTGGGGTTTGCACGAAACACGGAACTGATTCTCAAGAACGCCCTGGGTGCATGGTGCGGAGGGCGGGCGGTCTCACGAGCGAGGACCAGCAGCCGTTGATCTGCCCCTTGAAGTCAGGGAGGGAGCTCTGGTTCTCCAACCGCTCCTCCAACCCCTGCAGCAGCTGGCTGAGCAGGAACTTCAAGGGCAGCATGACCATCAAGAAAGCAGCCTCGGATGGCCCTTAAGACTCCCTCTGAAAAGTAGTCCCCTACATATCATCCTCTTAAACCCTATGAGGGAAGAATAGAACATATATGATCCTAAAATATCATCCTCTTAAACCCCAACCAGGGAAAAATATCAGTTCTCCCAACAGCCCTTACCGAGCCGCAAGGCCGCGATTCTGGCGGGAGAGCGCCAGCACGGCGGTGGCCAGGCGGACGGAGGCCTCCACCGCTGTCGCGGGAAAGTCGACCACCTGGGAGATGGTGGTGCCACAACCTCGGATGGCCCGAAAAAAACCCTCTGTGGGGTTTAGGGTTTAGGGTTTAGGGTTTAGGGTTTAGGGCTTTTCCTAAATACGGTCCTCTTTAACCCACTAAGGGAAAATCTATAACATATCCCAAGGGCCTACCGAGGAACTTCCAATCAGGGAGCGCAGCTGCCAGAGGTCACACTGCTCCAGGTACTCCAGGTCTTGTCGCAAGAGCGAGCCAAACCTTAGTTGTCCAGTAATCTGGGGGAACTAAAGGTTAACCTTTGGGACTGTTAGGGAATTATATTACCCCAAGAAGGTGAAAGGTTACCTACTCTACTCCCAGGAAACAGTGCAACCTTGAGCTCCTGTATCACCTTGGACTTCCCGTGCAGGCTCAGACGGCCACGCGCGAACTCGGCGATCTGTATGATCAGCTCACTCACCACCATGGCCCCCACCGTCTGCCCAATGCTGGCGGACGCAGGACCGCCGGTTTTGGCGCCGGTCACGGCGTCCTTGGCCAAGTTGATCACCCCGGCCTGGTAGTGTAGGCGCATGGCTGAAAACGCACCAAGGACCATGGACAGCAAGGACGAGAGCGCGACGAAGGGCAAGGTCGTCTTGAACCTGTACTCCCCTTAGAACCTTAATAAAACTGTTATGTTTCATATCCTCTTGGGTTTTATATGAACAAAAATCCCTAAACCCTAAACCCTAAACCTTAATAGAAATAATATTGTTCATATGAACAAAAAATTTAACAAAAAAAATCCCCAAAGGGAGATATAGGAACCGCCAGATGAGGCCGGCCACGCACTTCCACTGCGCCAGGTGACGGAACCGGACCATGGCTTCCGCATCCGCCAACTCCTTCTGAGCTTTGTACTTTAAAAACCCTTTGAAAACTAAATTTATGACTAGGTTCCCTTATAAATTATATATGAATAGGTTCCCTTATGAACTATATATGAATAGGTTCCCTTATAAGGAAAGAAGGGAAATTTTGACAATTATCCCAAAGCACAACCCAGCCTTGCTGTAGAGTTTCTGGATGGCAGAGGCCAGTTTCTGTGGACAGCGCTTGGAGATTGTCTCTTCCAAGTCCCGCGCCTCTCCAGCCCGTCGTTGTAACAGATCGCACTCTGCCTCTCCCTTCGTTACGGCCTCCGCGTCCAAGATTCGCGGTTTTGCAGAGTTTGGGGCTTCTGAGCCCGTGACCGCGAGCCTGGCTTCGGCTGTCTTGCGGCGGAGCTCGCAGGCCGTGAGGGCAGCGGACACCGCGAAGCCATCTAAAGCTTCCAGCGCCTGGAAGTGAGCTTTCGCAAGCTCTTCTGCAGCATCGGCGATGGACTCCGAGGTGATTCGGCATTCAAGGGGCTCACAGGGCTCAGCCTTAGAGGCCTCTTCTTCTGCTTGGCATGTCTGAAGCAGCCCTTTCAGCCGCGGCACGGAGTTCACCAGGCAGGGCAAGGGCACCTGCTTCAAGAGGTCTTGCAACTTTGCCCGCCGGGCCTCCCGCTCCTGGCACAGAGGTGACGGAAGTATCAGCACGAGATGGAAGAGGCAGAGGGAGCCTGGACTGACACACGTTCGATTCTACACTTCTTACGTACTCCTGATGGAAATCAGGGGCGACCCTCCCGAAAGCACGAATCGCCGGTCCCCTCAGCACAGAACATCCCCGAAACCTTCTTGCACCTCGACCCTAGACCCCAAAGCCCTGTTTGAACCCTGAACCCCAAACCCCAAGCACTAAACCCTCTCGCAAGTGCCTGGCTGCAGACTGCGCGCACATGTTGTGCCCCAGTCGAAAAGAGCTCCGAAAGCAAACATGAACACTTGTTAAGCACGGACTGAGGAGGCTGCCGGCAACACCTGAAAACCCTAAACCCTAAACCCTAAACCCTAAACCCTAAACCCTAAACCCTAAACCCTAAACCCCAAACCCCAAACCCCAAACCCCAAACCCCAATTCATCCAACCACACCTTGGCCACCCAGGACCGGAGGCTCTCGTCCTCAAGTACATCACCTCCCGTGGTGCGCGCCGTCCACCTGGGAGTTTGGGGGGTTTTAGGGTTTCGGGCTTAGGGTTGAAGCTTAGGGTTTAGGGTTTCGACTCTCGCACTAGCGCAAGCCGGCAAGGCTCCGGGTTCAGGGTTTTTTTGCCACCCGGGTTCAGGGTTTAAGGTTTAGGCTTTAGGGTTTAGAGTAGGGTTTAGGCTTGAAGTTTAGGGTTTGTTTTCTGCCACCCGACTAGGCACAGCACCGCGGGGTCTACTGTAGGGTTCGTCGAGGGGGTTTCAAACAAGACGCTAAGATCCCACGCAAACAAATCCGCACTGCGCGAAACAGCTTTGTTTACGATCCCTGTTTGAGGCTGACCATGTACAGGCAGCAAGACTGAGGGTTTACACGGGGGACCGGTGACCGTGCACAACCATCGGCACGGTTTGGGTTGGATCAGATATAAACCACAAACAATTCTTTTTTGGTTGCTCGGCCCTGCTTGATAATGCTGTGTCTTCCTTTGCCACCCACAGCGCAGAAAGCTGACAAAAAACGGGTCAGGCACCCCCGTTTGGAGGCGGACCAGCCTGGCAAACAAAACTGCCAGCTACGGGCTGTCTCAAACAAAAAAGACAGCTACACAGCAAAGGGGTTCCCCGCACGAGCCCAGACATTATAAGAATTTAATCCTACGCTCCATTGGCGGTCCCCGAGCTGTGACTGCGTAGAGTAAGTAAAGAAGTCCATCCCCACACCCAAGCCCAGGCATACTGGTTCATGATTGTTCCCTGGTCAGGAATGGCCAGGGTTTACCAGAGTGTTTGGGGACACCCGTTCCGGTATGAGGCCGGTGCAGAAGCAGCAGCACCGCTCCCACAGCCGCGACCACCGAACCCTGGCGCAGAAGCAGCCTGCTTGGAAGGGTGCAGGGAAAAGATGCTTTCAAGGGGCTTGACTTGCAGGAGTTGTCTAGGCACCTGAATTTCTGCAGCTCTAGACAGCAAAACATTCAGCTCAGAGCCGTCAGACTGTTCGGAACCCTTTGGAATTGGTAATCCAGCCAAGATGCTGAGGGGGCGGTGGCCACTCCGGCAGGAATCTGCCTGGCGCCTGAAAGACAACTTTGGGCAAACAAACACCCAAAGCTCAGCACCAAGAAGCATACATCAAAAAGGGTCTGTGCTCAGGGGTCTGATGAACGAAGCGACTTGGAGACGGATCTAAGCCAAGGGGCGTCGGGCAGGGGAGGGAGGGGGGGATGTAAGCTAGGCTGTGGCCACACCAGGCAGCTACCAGCGTTGAGTGCGACGTCTTTTTCACATCTGCACTGTCTCCTGCGGTCTCGTATGCTTTTGCACAACTACTCGGTGATTCGAATGTAGTCGGGAGACGCACTAGCCATGTGTCTCTTGTAGCCCACCTTGAGGCACACGAGGCCGATCACTAGCATGTACGCGCCTATGAGTATGCCCAAGCTCAACAAGCTGGAGGACAAGACGCAAAAGGTCCCTTGGAAGATGTAGAACAGCCCTCGTCCCCAGATCAGCGTCAGGCCCTTGGCCCATTCGTGCATCCACCTCTGCACTCCTTGCACGGTGTCGTGCAGCTGTGCAGCAAAGGTAGGGCGAGCTTCTGTGACGCAGGTGACCGCACCAAAGAAGACCATGTACAAGTTAACCACGTAGTAGACTGGTGAGCCAAAGACGTTGAACACATCTAGCACGCTGAAGATGCCGTTGAGCACAATGGCAGCACCCCCAACGAAGCAGAGCACGTTGAGTCTGTGAGGGCCCCGCTCAATGTAGTCGTCCAGCTCGTCAGCCAACTCCCTCAGCGATTTGGAGCCTGACTGGAGGCCCGAGAGGGCCGTGCCAGCCATGGATGCAACCTCTGCCGAACTATTGATGCTGTCCTCACTTTGTTCGAGCCACCCCGGCTGCGAAACGCAGCACTGGAGTTTACAACAATCACAAAAGGACTGGTTATTCGCAGACAGAAGCCTGTTCAGCAGGTTGTCCACTGTTCTAAAGAAGGTGGCAGGCAATGACCGGTGAGCACGGCAGTCATTCGCAGGCCACGAACTTGACTTTGAACCGGCAACCCACAACCCAGCAAAGCTTGACTGGCACGCGTCCAGCACCCCCAACAAACACAATCTGGCGCAATGTCCGATGCCCCCGCCGAGCCTGAAGGTGGGCCAGAACCGCACTCAGCGAACGAAGCCAGCGGAGGAGCCAACGCCGGTTCTGAGAGGTCCTGGCGAGATTCGGAGATTTCCAAACAACACCGGAGGAGATCTCGCCACTTCGTCAACTTTGCCTGGCAGATCCCTGCTCCGGACTCGGGCCCTGTGATCCCAGATTTTCCATCATACCACAGCGTGCCCCAAAGACACCCTCCGCAGGCCTGCTTTGAGACCCTTGACCCAAACAACCTACTTGGAGGTTCATGGTACTTATAAGCCCCTGAAGTGCCCTAATATGGTTATAAGTACAGTTGTAAGTACAGGTATACTTGGCTAATAAGTACCATGTACCTCCAAGTAGGCCCGGCCTGACAAGAAGTGCCGCGGCTGCCAGCAGCGCGCCAGCCGCAGGTATGGACCGAGCGGGCTCCAGGCGCATGGCGCCGGAAGGCGCTTGAGGCTCGCAGACGTATGGGGGGTGTACGAAAAAAGGGACCCCTAATATGGACCCCCAAATACTAGGTTTCCTTATAATCAGGACCCAATAAGGTACCCCTAATTCCGGGAACCCCCTTATAGATTATTCGGCTTAGGATCGCCCACATCACCAGTCTGCGCCTCAGGCCGAGTTTCTTTCTTGTTGCTTTGCGGATTTCAAGGACATCACATGGGCATGCAAGCTGCCTTGAGAGGAGTTAAATGAGCCCTTAAAAGGGTTTATGGTTCATATACCTGAATAGGAACTATAACTTGTTATTGTCGTATGGGGCTGACTATTTTAGTGGTACAGGGTGTATGACCCCAAGTCTAGCTTCTGGTCGTCCCCAAGGTGAGGCCCTGAAGCCTGGTCACCTCCCCTTGTTTTGACAACAGGCTTCCTGAGCTCGCGTCCCTTTGTTGGGGCACCTGTTCTTTCTACCGCAACATGGTTTAGAGAACTCGCCACATTCTACTCCGCGATCGCACATTGAACGCCTCGTAGAATCTTCTACTCGACTCTTTGGTTGGCGATCCGGGGTGATCCCTGCCTGGCGCTGGCAAAGCTTGGAAGCGCGGGCATCTTCGTCCAGACCTGGTGTTGCAAGCTCGTTTTCTTGGCGGGTGGTTGACATTCTTGTCGCCCTAAACCCTTTTTCTCAAGGGACTCGACTGTTGCCCTGACTGCCCAGCTCGTTCCCGTGCCAAGCCCTAAGCCCTAAACCCCTGAACCTAAACCCTGAACCTGAAACCATAAACCCGAAACCCTAAACCACCCGGATTTTGAGCTACGGGGTTGTTTAGGGTGCGGGGTGGGGGTGGGGGGGAGGGGGGGAGAAGGGATAGAGATCAGCTGATCTGTGCATGGAAGCCCGCGGCTCACAGCTACATGGCGTTTGCAGCGGTCAGTCACTACTTGCCCTATGGATACTTCAATATATATATATATACATATACATATACATATACATATACATATACATATACATATACATATACGTATACGTATACGTATATACATATACATATACGTATATACATATACATATACATATATACATATACATATGCATATACATATACATACACATGTACATATACATATACATATACATATACATACGCATATGCATATGCATATACATATACATATGCATATGCATATACATATACATATACATATACAGAAACATATACATATTGTGAAGTCGACCAGCACTGGACTTGCACTAAGCCAATGCAATCACAGCCCGGTCACGCTGTTTTACGACTTCGCGAGTCCAAGCACTTGTGCAGCTACGCCTGAGTGCGTCCGGTCGGACCGCACAGCAACCTAGGAGCTACTGTACGACTCTACCGTGCTCAAAGGCACAAGCTCGGTACTTGAGCCAAAATATTGGCATTGTTACGAATTGCAAAACTCTACATGCAAAGGAAAACTACAAGGTGGTCTGCCGAGTCCTAATGCATCACAGAGCAGAAGATGCATATGCACTCATGTCAGCTCACATTCGCCCCTCAGCCGAGGCTCCGGTGAGTGACTTCCACAAGGAGGGCGGGCGTCCGTCGCGGCTTTGGGCGCAAGCCCGCAAACGAAGACACGCGAAACGAGACGACCCAAACGAGCGACCCTCCAAAACCAGCCTAAACCAGGCGGTCCGGTCTTTTGCATGACCTGAGTCGAGGCTCCAGTACACAGAGCCCACTGAGTGCCTTGAGGACTGCTACGGCAGACACTGAAATCTATGGTACAGATGGTACACTGTACACGGCCGGTCCTAAGCTACGGCTACGGCTACTCACCTATCCGGAACTACCCTACGGGCTACCAGACTCAGCGAGAGCCGCGCACATGGCTTGTGCCGCAGGCAATGCAGCTCACACGCGCTTCGGCGAGCGCATTGCCGCGACCAGGACACGGTCCGCAGCAGCCGCAACGGGCTGAGAAGAAAAGTGCGGGGTAGGCAAAATGGGCAGGGCAAACCCTGCCGCGGCTCTTCGCCCGCTAGCAAAATACAATCAAAAGAGGCACGACAGCGTGCCGCGCTGTGACGCCTAAGAAATCGCGTGGAAACGATTCCACGCTGCGCCGACTGGCCGCAGCCTACTCGATACCCTGTGGAGCGGTGTTGGGGGCACGAGTGGCGACGCCAGCAACGTTGGAGCTACTGGCTCGCTCCAACTGAGGGCGCCTTGCGACCGCCTCATCGAGGGAGAATGCCTCAGCCGACACCCTCTGGAAATCCTCGATGTAGGACTGCGCGACCGGGTGCGTCTTAGAGACCTCAAGCCTAAGCCCTGCCTCCGCATTGGCTTTGCTGCTTGTGGTAAAATTGAGGCTCCCAATCAGCACCACCGCGCCATCAGGCCGCAGTAGGCAAAGGGCCTTGGCATGGTGAAGCCCTTGGATACCGGTACCTACTTTAGCCCCGCGGCCGTCTCGAGCATAGGCATCGCGCACGGATGTGCCGCATCCCACCTTCACCTCGGCGCCTGCAGCCGCCAAGCGTTTCAACGCTTGCCACTGCAGTTTGGTGCGGTGGCATTGTCCCATGTCGGCGACAATCCGAACGCCTGCGCCCTTGCTAAGCGACGCTTCGATTGCCTCGATGCAGGATGGGCAATCTAAGCTGTACGCCCGGATGTAGATCACATCCTCTGCTGCTCCAGACCCAAGCAGCGTTTGGGCGGCCTGAACGTATGGCCCGCCCGCAAGGAATTCCGCTTCTTTGACTGGAGAACTCCTAGCGGGGACTGGGCCCTTGTTCCTCCGGCTGGGTGTGCGCGCCACAGTGGCAGTGGCGGCACGTTGCACGAAGCCGGACTGTGCGTGGGCTGCGCTCGCTCCATCTGCTGGGGCCGCGGCCAGGTCACGACCCGCGAGCCCCTGAAAGCAGGAGAGCCCGCGGCTCTTGGCCGCAAGTTGGGAGAAGCATCCTTCACTGTTCCCCAAACCCAACACAACCTTACCCTTAGCTAGGGCTTCGGAGGCGGTACTCCGAATGGAGTCTGTGAGCGCAGAACCCGCGCCTCGCTGGGCCGCGTGCAAAAACCCTAGGGATCGAGCGGTGTCCATTGCGGCATCGCAGTGCCCGCAACGTCCCTCTGCTAGGTAAGCACGACAGCCACAGGCAGCTGTCTCCTCCTTGAGGTGCACCCAAACTTTATGGGTCACCCCTTTCTTAGTGCTCGCGACCTCAAACGTCGCTTCAGAGCCAAGGAGTTGAGACAGCCGCGCCTCAGGGGCCGCGGTGTTGCCATGTCGCAGATGCGCAATGCGATTGGCAACGGCACGACTCACGTACCACAGAACAGCGCTGCACAAGATCACTACTACCAGAGTGATGGCTGTTCCGGCGACCCACACGGTCCGCCTGGCCCCATGACCGATTTCCTCGACAACGTCGGCCGAAATTGTTGCAACCGCGTGCATGGAGTCCTCGACAACATGCACAGCCCCGCGGTGCAACTGCAAGGCAATCGGCGCCGACGCTGCAGCCGCCAGGCCCCACCAGCCGTTGATGTTCCCGTTGAGGGCGTGCATCAACCGATTGAGGAGCCCGCGACCCAGGAAAAAGGGGGTCCGCGGCGGAAGCGGAACACTCGGCGGCGGCCGGGCCGACCCGCACGGGAAGGCTGGGACCCAGCTTGTGCTTGGGCGGGGTTGGAGCGCGGCAACTATGCCCGCGGCGTAAGCGCCCCAGGCGTACCTGCCCCTCCCCTTGGGCTTGCCCTTGGCATCGGACTTGCCTCTGCCCTTCGGCTTGCCCTGGCCCTTGCCACGGGCATCTGCCCAAGCACTCCAAGGGTCGCGGCCCTTGCCGTACGTCGCGTCTTCGCGACGTCGCTTACCGCCCCTCTTCTTGTGTTTGTTTCTAAGAAGAGGTTGGATGGTTTCTTGGTCCATCGCACGATTGGCCAGAAGGATCTCGTACTCCAGCTCGTCCTGGCTGCTTTCGGAGCCAGAGTCCCTCTCTTCGCCACGCCGCGGATCAGGGATCCCGCGAGAGACGACCTCTGCCAAACGGAGAGGGGTGCTGCAGCGACAGCACAGCTGCCTGAATGAAAGATTCCATTCATAGCAGTTAGGGCACTGCCACCCTGCAATGCGGAGCGCTTCGCTGATGTGATCATCGCGCTCCGCCTTCTCCGCCTGGCGCCGCTCTCGCTTCTTGGCGCGCTCGGCCGCCTGCGCCTCCTCGGCCGCCTGGAGGGCT